GGGGGGGGGGGGGGTATTTAAATCGAAATATAGTTTAAAAATTAAAATATATTTTACATTATTTTTTAGATTATTATAGCACAAGAAGACAATTGTACGATGAAGATTTATCTAGAAATAAGGTTCCAATGTACGTTATATCATCTAATTACTTTTAATATCAATAACTACATAAAACTTATTAAGTAATTAATGTCAATTAATTTTTAGGCCTGATCCGCGATTTATTACTTTTCAAAAAGAAGGATCAGTGGGTGTTCGCCTGAGTGGCGGAAACGAAACTGGTGTTTTCGTAACAGCTGTTCAAACGGGAAGCCCAGCATCCCTTCAGGGTTTGCAACCCGGAGATAAAATTTTAAAGGTAAATTTTCTTGATTTTTTTTTTTTTTTCAAAATAAACTCAATTTATTATACAGAAATATATTTAATTTTAAAATATGCAATAAAAAATTATAGATAAATGATATGGACATGAAAGGGGTAACAAGAGAAGAAGCGGTTCTTTTCTTGCTTAGTCTACAAGAACAAATTGACTTAATTGTTCAACATCGACGGCAGGAATACGATCAAGTAGTAGCATCTGGAAAGGGTGATTCTTTTCACATAAAGTAAATATTATTTCAAATTTGAGTTAACTAATACATAATTTAAATTGCTACATATTTAATCATATACTATTACAGAACTCATTTCCATTACGAACAACCGCAAAAAGGAGAAATGAGCTTCCGCAGCGGGGACGTATTTCACGTTGTGGATACACTACACAACGGTGTCGTCGGTTCGTGGCAAGTATTTCGTATTGGTAGGAATAATCAGGAAGTACAAAAAGGAATTATTCCAAATAAAGCTCGAGCTGAAGAACTAGCGACCGCGCAATTTAATGCAACAAAGAAGGAAATGAGTGCCAGTGAAAGCAGGGGTAGTTTCTTTAGGAGGAGAAGAAGTAGTCATAGACGTTCCAAATCTCTTGGCAGAGTAATTTTCTTTTTATTTATTTAAAAAAAAATTTTGACATAATTTATTTGGTTATCATAACAATATATGTTTTATTGTGACTTTTAGGATCATTGGGATGATGTAGTATTTTCAGACAGTGTTAGCAAATTTCCAGCCTATGAAAGAGTAATTTTAAGGCATCCAGGATTTGTGAGACCTGTAGTATTATTTGGTCCTGTTGCAGATTTAGCTAGAGAAAAATTATTGAAAGACTTTCCTGATAAATTCACGTCTCCACGTAAGTAGGAAAACTCTAATCATGTTAACATCAAGTTCAACAAAAATTTTTAAGTTATTTATTTATGTATAGAAATGGAAAATCAATTAGATGATAATGTTGGAAAGAATACGAAGTCATCGGGTATCATTCGACTTAGTGCTATTAGAGAAGTAATGGATCGAGGAAAACATGCTTTATTAGATATAACTCCAAATGCAGTAGATCGATTGAATTACGCGCAGTTTTATCCAATAGTTATTTTTTTAAAAGCCGAAACGAAACAGATTATCAAGGAGATGCGAGCCGGAGTTCCTAAGCAAGTATCAATCAAATAAATATATGTTTGATATGTTCTCAGATATATAAATAGACAAGTTCGAATTTTCATTTCAGATCAGCGCATAAAAGCAGCAAAAAACTTCTAGAGCAATGTCAAAAACTAGATAAAATTTGGGGCCATATCTTCAGCGCAGTGATTACGTTAACTACGCCGGAAGCGTGGTATCGAAAACTGCGAGAACTAATCGATCGACAACAACAAGGATTACTTTGGATGAGTCAAACTAAGGTAAAGAAATTCTGTAATTTATTGACATATTTTTATTGCGGAATCCAACAATAAAAAGCACGGTATGACCTTAAATAACTAATTAAAGTAATAAAAAACCAGTAAAGTAATTTTCTTTTAAATTACTTATTTTAATATGTCTAGTTTTTATATAAATAGATGCATAAAAATATTGGAAATATTTAAACTTAAATATCGTACGAATGATGAAAATCCTATTGCTGGGAACGAATGGAATTATGTTGATGAAATTATTTTATAATAATTTATTATAGCCGTCATGTGGTCGACAAATGACGTGGGAACCATGTCATTCGTCCGGTGACCCTCGTGATTTACCTCCTCCTCCTGTACCCCCGATGTTAAAAGAAACTATATATCACGACGTAAACGAAAATGACACATATCACACGGACAAGTTATTTTCATTACCTTCTTATCCGTCTCTAACTTCTGATGTTGTCCGTGAGCAATTTTTCGGCTATATTTAAATCCCGCTTTTCCTACTTAGGTGTCTTGATTATCATCTTTCAAAATATTATACATTACTTTCTTGAGCATTTAAAATAATATAAATTTTGAATTTATCTTAAATTTTCAGATATGTAGAATCTCGATAATTACAACCCCAGTGATAACAGAAAAAAGAAGAATACATATTATGTCTCATGCATTAATTACTTAGTACTTGTATATTTTCAATACGATTTTCATGCAGTTATGGAGGTTCTATTATAAAGTGTTTAATTTATCAATTATAACTATGAGTAAAAAACATATTGATATATTTTTAATTTATTATTCTAACTTATAAAAGATGTTTCAAAATAGTTTTATATTAAAATTGTTTATTTTTATAATTATATTTTAAGATATTCGAGACACCTTATATTTCATATTCAGTTTAATTTGCATGGCTAACTTCATAGCTTTAACGCCAATCATCGTGAGTTGAAACAAGGTAATCTCATAGTATATTATTAAAAATTTCGTAAGTATTTAAAACTAGTCAAAATAATCAAGAAAGCATTTTGTAATTTTTTACCTTGTAAAGACGTAATTTCAAAACGTCTTTCCGATATTGAATTAAATAGGGAAATCACGAGGAATAAATAACTATAATTCATGATTTCATTAAATGATAACGTAATAAATGATACTAATAATACAATTTTAACAAGTTTTCATTGTTGTCAGGATTGAATATAATATAATATATTCCATTAAAAAGAAAAAGAATAAATAACAGTAATAAAATAATTTTATTCTTATAGTAGAAAATTATTATAGATTCAAAATACTAACAGTGTAAAAATATACATATAAAAGAAAATAAAATGTATAAATTTGATGTCAGTTTCAAAATAACTTTACATACACGCGCGTGCGCGCGCGTGTATGTGTGTGTGTGTGTGTGTGTGTACCAAATGCAGTAGATCGATTGAATTACGCGCAGTTTTATCCAATAGTTATTTTTTTAAAAGCCGAAACGAAACAGATTATCAAGGAGATGCGAGCCGGAGTTCCTAAGCAAGTATCAATCAAATAAATATATGTTTGATATGTTCTCAGATATATAAATAGACAAGTTCGAATTTTCATTTCAGATCAGCGCATAAAAGCAGCAAAAAACTTCTAGAGCAATGTCAAAAACTAGATAAAATTTGGGGCCATATCTTCAGCGCAGTGATTACGTTAACTACGCCGGAAGCGTGGTATCGAAAACTGCGAGAACTAATCGATCGACAACAACAAGGATTACTTTGGATGAGTCAAACTAAGGTAAAGAAATTCTGTAATTTATTGACATATTTTTATTGCGGAATCCAACAATAAAAAGCACGGTATGACCTTAAATAACTAATTAAAGTAATAAAAAACCAGTAAAGTAATTTTCTTTTAAATTACTTATTTTAATATGTCTAGTTTTTATATAAATAGATGCATAAAAATATTGGAAATATTTAAACTTAAATATCGTACGAATGATGAAAATCCTATTGCTGGGAACGAATGGAATTATGTTGATGAAATTATTTTATAATAATTTATTATAGCCGTCATGTGGTCGACAAATGACGTGGGAACCATGTCATTCGTCCGGTGACCCTCGTGATTTACCTCCTCCTCCTGTACCCCCGATGTTAAAAGAAACTATATATCACGACGTAAACGAAAATGACACATATCACACGGACAAGTTATTTTCATTACCTTCTTATCCGTCTCTAACTTCTGATGTTGTCCGTGAGCAATTTTTCGGCTATATTTAAATCCCGCTTTTCCTACTTAGGTGTCTTGATTATCATCTTTCAAAATATTATACATTACTTTCTTGAGCATTTAAAATAATATAAATTTTGAATTTATCTTAAATTTTCAGATATGTAGAATCTCGATAATTACAACCCCAGTGATAACAGAAAAAAGAAGAATACATATTATGTCTCATGCATTAATTACTTAGTACTTGTATATTTTCAATACGATTTTCATGCAGTTATGGAGGTTCTATTATAAAGTGTTTAATTTATCAATTATAACTATGAGTAAAAAACATATTGATATATTTTTAATTTATTATTCTAACTTATAAAAGATGTTTCAAAATAGTTTTATATTAAAATTGTTTATTTTTATAATTATATTTTAAGATATTCGAGACACCTTATATTTCATATTCAGTTTAATTTGCATGGCTAACTTCATAGCTTTAACGCCAATCATCGTGAGTTGAAACAAGGTAATCTCATAGTATATTATTAAAAATTTCGTAAGTATTTAAAACTAGTCAAAATAATCAAGAAAGCATTTTGTAATTTTTTACCTTGTAAAGACGTAATTTCAAAACGTCTTTCCGATATTGAATTAAATAGGGAAATCACGAGGAATAAATAACTATAATTCATGATTTCATTAAATGATAACGTAATAAATGATACTAATAATACAATTTTAACAAGTTTTCATTGTTGTCAGGATTGAATATAATATAATATATTCCATTAAAAAGAAAAAGAATAAATAACAGTAATAAAATAATTTTATTCTTATAGTAGAAAATTATTATAGATTCAAAATACTAACAGTGTAAAAATATACATATAAAAGAAAATAAAATGTATAAATTTGATGTCAGTTTCAAAATAACTTTACATACACGCGCGTGCGCGCGCGTGTATGTGTGTGTGTGTGTGTGTGTGTCTTAAACTTTAAAGTTTGAACTTATATCTACCAAAAATGCAATTTACAAGAACAATAGAAAATGAATCAAAAGCACTTATTCTTTAGGTGATATAATTTTTGTTATAAAATAAATAATATATTAAATCCGTTTTATAGGAATTCTTTTCATCATTCATCCTACATCTTGCAAGACTAACAAAATGTTCGGTGGTATATTTTGTTTTGGGTGTCATGTGGGTTTTTCTAAGCTGAATTATGATCAAACATTTCATTACCCCCAAATAAACTAAAAAATTATTGAAATGTATAAAAATACTTTTTACTTAGAAATATTTTGTTTCATTTTTAAACATATATTAATTTAATTTTAATCTACTCTGTAATCTTCAAAATACCTTAACTGAATTTCAGAATTAATCTTAACCAAATGACAAGTATTTGTTTTTTGTTCCAATTTTAACCCTTTCAGACATTATTACTATAATAAAACATACTTAGCAGCTTCATTTACATATAAATAATCTAATCAAAAATTCATCATTTTGTAAGAAGTTATGCAATTTCTATATGAAGAATGTAAACAATATTCATCATAAATGTTTAATTGTTTTCTGCTGTATTATAAATGAAAAGAAGTTCTGGAAGGGTTGAATAGAGCATAAATCTCTGTAACGTGTTGTCCTCTATGTCCTGCGATGATAGCCGGAAGAAGCACTCTCGGATGACTTCCTATTCCCGATGACTTCTCGCCTCTCCTATGCTTCCTCCCCGGAGAGTGACTTGGAACTCAGTCCGGCACCAGCTTTACCGGGCGCTTTGGGTGCACCGTCTAGATTGAAAAGCAGTTCTGATCCCAGCATCGCGACACAAGATGACATCGCGGCACCACCACCATATTCGACCACTTATCAGGCAAGATAATTTAATTCTATTAATCCAGTAATAATTATCCTAGTAAAATCGAAACAAATTTTCAATAAATGTATTGGATATAAATTCTTTGAACTAAGAAAATGTATAATTTTATATAACATATTTACAATATTTAATAGTCTAAGTGCCACGGGACTTTCTCATTTCCCAAGCGAAAATTGCCAAGCGATAGCGGTTGTTTCATTCCATGTCCAACAATGCTGAGAATTATTTTATTATTTTAGTGTTATTTTTGATAGTCTATTGTACATAATTTAGTTCATTATATTATTATAGTAATGGTTATAGTAATATTACTTCAATTTTGTCTTAATTTTCTCAAGACTGAACGGTAACCATAAAGACACGTATCGACTAAAACCGAGCGTGCAGTCATTGTCGGCTTCGCAGTCTGGAGCACTGACATTTTTGGACACAGGATAGAAGAAGCGCTGGAATATTACTTTTTTTTTATGTTTTTAGCAATCCTTTGATCAGCCAAAAAGAAGATCGCAAGGAGGAATGGGGGATGGAAAATATGGATTCTCATTATCAGGACAAGTTAGTAATCAATCGGGATCACCGGAATATTTAGGTGGTTCATTCGAGCCACGATCTTCTCATCACAGCCCTCCTGATTTACCTCCACGAGTGGATCGTAATGCGAAACCAAGTAGTCAACAACAAAGAAATACCATTGGAAGATCAGCCCAAGAACGATTGCTCAATAAAACAGATTCAGTATTGGATGTTGCAAATTATATAAATGCAACGCCTCATAAAGCTAATGCTACATCATCGCTTGAAAGAGCCCAACCAAAAGCGGTAAAGACTACATAAAATTATATTAATATATTATTATTAATATAATTTATTAGTTTATTATAAATGTAGCTATATTATTATAAAATATCATAATTGCTATTTACTATATATTTGTAGGGGAGTTACGATAGCATGTCTTCTTATGATTCCTATAATAATACAAATGGAAATGCCAATTATGGAGCACCAGGTTTAAGTACATCAACTGGTCGATTGGGTCCCAATGTTCCAGATGACTTAAAGAGCAGTGGTGCGCCAACAAGACCACATGATCCTTACAGATTTACTAGATCGACAGCACAACCAATTCCAAATCACGATTCACAACCACGAACCGATTACGCTAAATATAGGTATGGATTTATTTATGTAAGAAGTAAAAATTTTCTTAATATACAATCTGTTAGTTAAGAAAAAAATCCACATGCACAGAGAAAAAGTTACATATAAAAATATTAAAATCTTTTTAATGTCTTTTTTTTTTTTATTTTATTTCTCTATATTCTAGAATGCTGGTGCGAAAACCTCGACCATTGAGGAGAGCTTGTAGAATTTATATTTCTAGTCAAGATACACTAGTTTGAATTTTTAATTTCATTGTATTATTTTAAATTTTATGAATGTCGTAGTTAGATGTGCATACGTGTATAACTCATATAGTTATATATGAAAAAAAATGATACAACTTTTTTTAAAGAATTTTATTTTTCAATTTGAGTATCGTAAACTTTTTTCTTGCATTATTATATTACTAAAGTTCATTATTAATTTATCTTAGATCAGATACCTAGTTTCTATTTTATAGATAAAATATTTTTTATCCTAAAAATCCCGTTTTTATATATTTTATAATTTTTATTATTATTTATTCAATGCCTATTAAACTCCTGTACGCTAGGATATTTTGCTTTGTATATTGTAGCCGCACAACTGATTACAAATCGATAACGTTACCGCAAAATAAACCTGGAGGATCATACAAACCAATACCACCTCCAAAACCAAAAAACTATAGGCCACCACAAGCAAATTTGTCCCAGCCAGAAAATAATGGAAATGAAACAAATAATACTCATCAACATTCAAAAAGTTATTCCATTGCTACTTCTCATGTAAGTAAATTTTTTTCTATAAGAAGCTATTTTTAAACGCAATAATAAAAATAAAACATTAAAATAAAAATTTTTCATTTTAGGTAGAAAATACCAACAATGTTCAACGAAATAGTGGACAATATTATTATAACATACCACCACCAAATCGTCATGATTCAAATCTCGGGAATTCCCACCATAACTTAAATCACCTTTCTACGTCTGCGCACAATCATAGTTTGAGTCATACGCATGCGCACTGTAGTCCGCCAATGTCAACCCACAGTCATAGTAATAGTGCCAGTCAGTTAAGTCTCGGTCTTTCACATAATAGAAACAGTGTTAATCATAATGGATATGTGGTGAATAACGGTCACAATGCACCTGGACAAAGTTTCCCAACGAGTCCAGGGCATAATCGAGAACCGAGTGGACTAGATCTCGCTGGAAGCAGAGAACAAAGAGGAAGTGCTTTTGAACTTTATCGCAAACCTGTACATCATTACAACGCAAGGTAAAGTTACAGTATTTTTTATATTTAATGTATATTTTTTTATGTACTATAACTTCAAATTATTATTAATTTAAGGAAATTAAAAAATTTTAAATTTATAACTTTAATTTGAAATTTTACGATATTAGATTTATAAAATCTTCAGATTGTATTAATATTTCAGTACTTTACAAATATTTCGTGAAGATTTGGTAATAAAAGATATTATTATTACAGTTAATATGTGGAAGGATTTATATAGTTTTTTAATGGCAAAGAAAATGAAAATTATTAAACTTACTATCTTGATATGAACAACAGCAAACAAATATCTGGATGTTGTAATAAAAATAGTACGCGACAATGAATAAAAATACTGAAACAGAAGACAAGTTCTACGAAAAAAGAACTAGGATATTGAATCTGTTTCATTTTTTTTTCACTTTGATTTTGTATATACAATTTTAATAAAAAACAACATAACAAAGTTTAGCAAGAAACAGTTGTTAAATAAAATTTTTTAATAAAAATTGTACTAGTGAAACAAATTATGTTTCTCCTTTCATTTATATAAGAGAAGATTGTCTAGTCAGTTCATTATACAAAAAAATAAATCTCCTTAGGAATATTTTTGAAGAATAAGCCAAAATTTGTACAGGGTAGATTTACTTTTGTACAATGTCAATATACATCAATAACATTTAATTTCTACTATATTTCCAGAAAACTTTTACTAAAATTGACAATGAATTCCCATTTGAGAAATTTCTCTAAAATATCCCCACAAAATTTCGTAAGAAATGGAAGAACAATTTAACTCTTAATTGCTATGATATTTTTTATATTTAGTTAATGTCTTAAACAGATTTGATAGAAATCTATAATATTATAGACTATATTTTTTACATTAGAAAAGCTTGAAAAAAACTTTAATCGTGTAGATATGTTTATAGTAATTGTGTAATTAACTTTGTTGATAAAACATAAAATAATGCTATATTCTAATTAAAAAAAAAAAATGTAACAAAACCTACATTTGTATATATCATGCATATTTTTTTTATTTTATTTTTAATCATACCAATTAAGAGTTACTTCGTATTATTTCATCCTTACAACTATAGTAACTGCTGACAATTGAATTTACTAGAATCACAAATGAAACTAAAATCTTACAAAATATAAGCTCCTTTTATCATGATGTATTACACCAGTGTTTCCCTCGATACAACATAAAAAAATTCTAATATTTGTTGATCGATTATAAGTAATAATTTCTTTGCAGTAGATTTTTTAATGTTTACTAACGATGTAGCGTATTATACATACTTAAATATATAATATTTTATATTTGTCGGTTTTAACATAAGTTTATTCGGTCCAAGTATATATAAATTAAAAATTTAGACTAAGAAAGATACAAGTAAATCTAATTTAAAGAAAAATAATTTTGTCTTACTTTTACTTATTATAAAAATGAGAAAAATTGGAAACACTGGTTTTTGAAGAAGTAATTTATATACGAGATAGGGAAGATCGAAGAAATAAAATCTATGATTTATGACTAGTTTGTTAGTGAAAATAAACGAACTTGATCGCAAATCATGGATTTCATTCTTACTTAATAATAATACCAGGTCAAAATCAACGTTATTATTTATAAACGTTAATCTAGTCCTTATATAACTCAACAGAACCTTGATTATCCGTAAAGACAATTATAAAAATATATAAAAATAAATTAATATTACCAATTTCTTCTATCTTTATTAAAGTCAAATTGTTTCTTGTAATATAAAATGATGAAACATATATCAAACTTCAGGTCAAGTTACTATTGAAATATTACATAATTTTTGTTATTTTGATTGAATTTAAGTCTTAGAGAGTTCCATTTTATTTACAATTATCAAATTTATTTTGCACGATTTATTGCACTACAAAGTCTTAAAAGAAAATTAGGAGAAATTATACGCATAGAAAAGAAAGATTATAATAATACATACATATAAAAAAAAATATACTTCTCCAGTACAATAATTTATTAAATAAATTTAAAATATATTCTATTTATAACCGATAACCAAGGTTCCAAAATAGTTAAGAAAAAGAACAACTCACTTTCTCAGCAACTAGCGAACCATATCAAGCGAAAATACATCTATAATGCGCCAGTTATTGTCAGTTTAAATCCCAGAGTATTTACGACGGCACAGGAGAGTAGAAGGCAATGTTCACTTAAGACCCAACAGCCATTCTGCAACGCCGAGGTAGTAAACAGTTTGTGCAATCCCGAAAAGAGGTGCAATCACGATCATTCTGCATGCTCCGCCTTTGAAGAATGCGGTTGGACCTTCATTCTTCAATGTTTTACTACAAAATAACACATTCCTTTTATATCATTTTTTCATTAATTATATAATAAAAACTATATAGAATTCATAACAGCAATATCAGCAATAACTTACGTGATACAGTCTAATACACCATCATATGTTGGTTCACCGGGTGCCTTTTTGATTACTTGTAATCTAGTTTTAACTACATCAAATGGATTTACCGACAACGCAGCTATAGAACCAGCGGTACAGCCGGCCAAAAATGAGCACCAAAAGACGGCTATCCAATTAAATAAAAAATTCTCGTTGAATTTGTGATCAATTTTCAGCATAAGCTGTAAAATATACTAAAAACTTACACGAGCCATCCTCCCTTTTTGGCCCAATATCGTTCAATCTAGCGAATAACGGAAAGTAAAGTATAGAAAATGTTACATCTCTAAGTGCTGTCGCACCAGTGCCTTGATAAAGTCCGAAAATTCCTCTTTTTTGCAGTAAATCTTTCGTTAATGATAAAGCTGACACTTTTGGCACTGTTTTTCCTGCTGTAATAGAAAAATTTATTTTTATTTGTATGCTATTAATTATTCTTATCAGAAAAGTAAACATTGATGTTTTATTATTAGTCGTATTGTTCGAATTTTTAAATTACAGTCCTTTATAATTAGAAGTTCAAATGCTTAAAAATATTTATATTTAAAAAAATTTAGTTTTATATTGTAAATATAATTAATAAATTCTAATCAACAGTTAGTATCATATTTTGTATTGAAAAAAAAAAAGAACTGAATATGAGCATTGCTGATACACAAGGAAAACCACCAATATGAAGAAAAATCACATTTCAATAAGTAAGGAATAAATCTTAAAAACTGAATCATAAAAGAGAATATTGCATTTCTCGCGTCAATGAAATCAAGGGTAAATGCACATTTTTAACGCTCAAATTAGAATAGATAATAATTATTTTTACTTAAGCAGAAACAGTTCGTAAAAAATGTCCCTTTTATAAGAGAGCAAAAAATATAAAATTTTTTCTTTTAAAGTAACATTTTAACAACATATCAAATGTTTAAAAAACAATATTCATATTAGGAAATGCATTAACAATTAATAAAAATCTACTCTAATTTTGAAGCAAACATAATTTTCTCAAATCCTTTACCGATCTATATTCGATACGCTGTCATCCATCTTCAAATAAATCTTCCTGTTCCTAAATTTTATTGGCTATCGCGGATGTTATATAGCTGTAAACATGAATCGAAAAAAATAAAAGTTCTTGATTCAAATCTTAATTATAATTTATTAGAAACCCCATTGATTGTATTAAACAAATTAAATATAAAATATTGTATATATTCACGGAATTACTAACAAATCTACAAATACTTTGAAAACAATTTTTCTTATAGTAAATAGTTACTGTTATCTATTTCCTTAATATTTAATAATTATTTTAGCTTAACTATTTCCTAAAAGTAAATAGTTTATAAAATTTGATACCTTCTTTTGCTGCTGCTGCTACGCGCCCAGCATCTTGCATTTGAATTTTGAGCAGTTCCATGGGAGTTGTAACGATAATTTGACAAGCTCCAGCTAGACCACCGGCGAGCATTTCCCGTTCTAATGGCAGTTTCTGTCTGTGCAAGAAATTAATACATTTTTAGTTTCCAATGGTATTAAAATGTACAATAGTATCGTATTAATATCGAAATCAATATTGGCAGTATTACAAATGTTAAATATTCATTACCTATGTAATCATCAATCCTTTTATTAGTGTTAATATCTACATATTCATTTTAGAATTAGTACCGTTATTAGTATCATATTAGAATATGAATACCAATGTCGAATACAAATATTAATATTTATATTAATGAACTTATCAGTATTAATGTTGCAGTTAATGAAACCAATACGTCTTTGCATATTTAATGAAGTTGAAGAAACAAACATACCCGGGCCCGGTAGATAAGTAATGTCGAAAAGTATCATTGGCAGTGAGTTTGATTGCTTTTTCTGGTGTGATTAAAAGAATGTTCACGCCAGACCCTTTATACATGCCAAAGTAGCCTTCAGCCTTGTAAGTCTTCTTAAAACAATCGAACCTAAAAGAGGGCATATTACGTAATTATTATTTTGTTTCTTAGTTTATTCGAGATGTATCAAAGATAGTAATTACTTACATAGATTTGTACATTCTTTCCCCATTAGGGCCGACAACTTGATTCTGTAATCGTGTTTTAACCAAGTCCAGTGGAAATACCACAGAGACACCGATGATACCTGCGATCCCGCCATTTATAATTTTTGGAAGAAGTCTAAAATTTATTTACATAAGAAGTATTCCAATTTCTTTACTTTTTAATATATTACATTAGGAATAACTTTTGTTTCTTACATTTTAAAATGGAAATTTTATTATGCACATTTTTCTTAATCAGAACATTTTATATTAAATGGACTTACTTAAATTGATCCGGAGCTTTTTCTACACCGTCCTTTTCCATTGAAAATAGAATTTATAACTTCCTCCCTATAACAAAATTATATTTTATTAAAAAATACGAATAGCAAATGCTGTATGTGTATATGCATATTTACATAAACACACACATACGCGCACGTACACTAATAATAATACAGTAATATTTATTATTATATTCATTATTATATATAATTATTTAACAGAAAAATTACATTTTGTAAATCATATTTATTATTGCATTGTATAAATGAAAATAGTGAATTCTGTTTTTAAATTTGTAAAAAATTGACATCATGCCTTAATTATTTCATTATTGATTCAATCTTCATTTTCATTTTGGATATATTATTTGTAGTTAAATATTTTTGAAAATAAAATATTACTTTCCTTTTGCTCATGAAATTCTTTATCGAAAGTGTTAAAAAATGATTCTATTAAAGAATTCTAGAAACAACTTATTATATAAAATCACTTATTAAATCAATAAGTAAATTAATTTGTATATATTTCAAGGAACCATATTTAGAAAATTTATATTTGCATATAAATATATACAACGTGTTCAATTGTATTATATTATTAAAACTATTTCGAAAAGTTGCTGAACAAAATTACAAGCGTATAATATCTTAAAATGTAGATAAAATTATGCTAATTAGGAGCGTTAAGATCAAGGGAAGGTCATTTACGTTGTTTAAATAGAATCATATATTTTTTTAATATTTATCGATTCAGCTTGTTGTTGTTTATAGAAGAGAATTAAACTATTTGCATCAAAATGCTATTAGTTAAAGGAATACTTTACTGGAAAATAATACTAGTACAAGAAACTTTTTCCTTTAAAATAGAAAACTATAGCATTTAATTTTAAATTTCGAAATGTTCAAGGAACATTTATTGTTTTATTTTACAAATTTTTTTAATAAAGGCGAACGTGAAATTATATGTTTAAATGTGTTTCGTAAGCTATGCCACGTTATAAACAAATTTGTCCATATATGAATAGGTATATCAATATCACTTTATCATATTAAAAATAAAATATCCCTTAAATTAGTAATCTTTTAATATAAATAGTGTAATACTTTTTTAGGAGGACATTAACTAATATATTAAAAATTATATAATTTAAGGAAACTTAAATAATCTTCGCTTAAACATTTACAATTACCAACATCTTACATATTCCTATGTATATCTTCTGTGTACTTTGCAAAATATTTGCAATAATAGATTAAAATCAAACATTCTCTACTGTATCTCATAAATTTTTAAATAATACTAATGTATATAAAAATAGAGTTATGTTTATATTTCCCTAAGAGTCACAAACAAATAGAATAAAACAATTTTGTAATATATAGCATTTGATATAAATAAGTATACAACAAATATTTATTATTGTTGAATTTTATACACAGTCGCGAAAAATTTGTTATAAGTAATATATATACGTATGTATAATCTCATGTGCACAACAAGGTATGCAAATGGTTCCTTTTATTCTGGAAACATTACCACTTTCAGCTACCATGTTCCCGTCGATGAACATGACCTGGACATATCATTGATTTCTTACGAAAGCCAGAGCTTCCAACAAACGTCGTAAGCATCAGTTTGGTTAGCAACGAATAACGGTTAATGACGAATAATATGAGTGATATAAAAGGCTAGCCAGAAAATATAGCAAGTATATAATTCTACGTAAACAATATTTTACATCAAAGAATAAAAATTAATGATGAGAACGATGGTTAATACACAATAATTTACTTAATATCATACAATTTTTTTAAAAGTGTTCATTAAAATTTTATGTAACATGTATATAAAAATATATAAATAAAATCTTTTTTCAGATTTTACTTTCTAATACTTGAACTTTTTACATTTAAATAAAAATAAGTAATCAGCAAATTTTGAAATAATCCTACTTAAATTTTCTAACGTGTTCAGCGATTTTCTCTTCGTTCCAATTCGAGGATGCCTACGTAAGTATCGATCAATTTCTCTTGAATGAATTCTTTTGTGCGACAAACTGCTGGGAATAGCTTTACTTTATAAAGCTTTAAATCTCATACTTTCTAGAATTATTTAAATAAATAAATTATACAGATGGTAATAAAACAATTTTGCTACAAAGCGAAAATATGTCAAAATGAGTGTCACAAACATATTGTTACTAATAACTTTGACTCGTCATGTTTGCCCTACATGTGTTGGCAACTTCGGCAACTAAAGTAATAGTGGTTTGATATTCCATTCCGTGTAAAATTTCAAGAAAAATAAAATTTTTGTGTAACTGCATGATTTAATTTTTAAAATTAATATTTCAAATTTGTTTAGTTGTATAACTTTAAAATTATATAAATTTATAGAAATTACAAATATTTTTTTCACGGTAGTTCAAATATTCATATCTTTGAACAAAAAAAAGTCTTTATTGGATATTAATTTAAATTTTTAGTATATTACTATGGCCTTGAGAATTAATAATATATAATAAAAGAATAAGTGAAAATATTACGTAACACGCTTATGGGTACATGGATATGCATTATCCACGCATATTCATAAATTTTATAATATTAAATACTACTAAAAGTTAGAAATGTATAAATAAAGTGTGCATAATTATATTTCGAGATAAAATATATATACATATCTCGATTTATATAATTTTATTTCAATGTAAACGATAATATTAATAAATAATACAAAAATATAAATTGGAATTTAAATATTAATAAGCAAATAAGTGAAGAAATATTTAACAGAATTTGTAACCAATATTCTATTTTATAAAAATTAGCTATTTATCAATCAATTACATAAAAATAAATAAAGCGATAAACGGAATTAAATAGTAATATGTTACATTGTTTATGTATATATATACCTAAACAATGTAAATATAGGAAATATCCAGTGACCAATAAAGTAGGTTAGGCAACAACCATACCAACTGAAACTATATGCTAGAAAGGTTAGACTTTAATTTATAAAGTATGCCAATAACTCGTTTTACCAATTTATTATTTTCAACCATTTATGTTTCGTGAAAAACAGCTTTTCAAGCAAAAAGAAACCTTCAATTATAAACTTTCAAATATAAAAATTCAATTCTTATTTATCTTGACAGTTCATCCATTAATGCTCATATTAAAACGAACAATTAAAAATGTATAAGACGTAAATGAGAAAAAGATTGATGGTATATTGTTTCTGAAATAGTTTGGTAAAATTTTGGAATGACAGTCAACCGGAAATTCAGCAGAAGACATACTCACCGATTGAAAGTGGAGAGTGGTTGCTTACAGTATTTCGTTGACAAAAGGCAATTCTTATCATCGAAAGCGAAGATAAGGATGACGTAGGGAGCTCAATCTCAAACAGGCAGTGTAACTAGCATGATATCCAGGAGATTTCGTTTTCACTGACGATCTTAAAAGATAAAAGAAGACTCGACACGGTCCACGGGTGGAACCGTCGTTGACTTACGTCACAAGTTATGCACCAATCACAGTGGTCTTTTGAAGAGAAAGAAAGAAAAGGAACTTCTTCTGAGAATTATTGCTCTCTTTCTCTTCGTTTAAACGTTCAAATGATATAAATTAAAGGAAATGATTGGGATATATTTGTCAAGACTAAAATGTATTAGACTAAAATATTCATTTGTTTGCAATCTAGATAGAACTAAATTGAAACTCAATTTTTAAAACATGTAAGTTGTATAGCAATGTAATATTTTTGAAACCATCAAAATGTTATAAAATGTTATTGAAAATATTGGAGTACTATAATACAAAGCATATATTCAATTAAAAATTATCAATAATTGTTTTAAATTCATATATTTTTTTACTTATCTTTAAAGTGAGAATTTTAAAGAATATTTGACTAAAGTTGTGTTATATATTTATTGAAACATATTTTATACATATTGAATAAGAAACTTTTATATTTAATTATTAATTTGGCTTTACATATCTGTTTGTATGATTTTATAGATATTTTAACTCTGTATGAATTCAATCAGAGTTAAGTCATATTTTTCTCTGAAGATGGCGGTGTAATCATAATTTAAAACAGTTCTAAGCGAAAAAGAATGCATAATATAAATATAAAATTTGCTACTTTCTGTTTAATAAATATCATTAATTTGTATTGAATAGGAGTTCAGTTACTTATATTTTGTTCTTCTTTTTTTTAACATAGTAAATGAAAAATTCATTGTGGTATTTTAAATTATCTAGAAAATATTGAATCTAACCCTGTCTTTTTATATGAAGTAACAGAAATCCGTTTTGCTTGAATATCATTATCTTTGTAGCATTAAGGAGTAATATCGTATAAAAAATTGTGAATATCAAATAATGGAAATAGTGCAGTTAAGAAGTTCATCTGAGGATGATGATGATGTATATTTAAATTCTGTTGCAAAGTTGAAAGGTACATCTATGAATATTTAATTTTTTGTTACTGTTTTACTTTTCAAAAAATAATATTAAAATATATGATATAATTCGAATTTATTTACAGCTTTGAAGAAGAAACAAACATCATTACACTGTGATGTCCAAAAGGAGGAAGAAACACAGGAAAATAACGAAGAATTGAAGCACGTCTGATACATATAGAATAAAGTTCATAAAAAATTAGTTTTTATAGTATTTTATAATTTATATTTACATGTACTATAATTCATTAATATTCCTTTACTGTGCTCTCATAGATATAAACCTTTTTGTTACATATTTTATATAAGCTATTAACTTACAGACTTGAAGTTCCTAACAAGACTATAATAAAACGAAGAACATATCGGAAAACAAGAAACAAGGGAAATACTCCTAAGCGTCGATCAGCAAGACAGAAACAAGTAAATTAATTTAAAAATAGCATACATAGAAAAATAAACAATATTTCTAATTAATGATTCTAAGAATTATTAACTAATTATTTGAAATATGTTACATATTTACTTTCATCTTTGTCTTTTTAGCAAAAAAATGTATCAGATGCAGATTCTGATCTGGAAATTGTTTCTGTTGAAGGAAAACCAAATTCTGCTGAAAATGATTTATTCATAGTTGAAAACAATATGAATGAGAACTCACATTGTACTGAGGATGAAAATTATGAAATAAATATTAAGATTCTGTGGCAATCAAAAGATGTACATCGTTTGAATATTTGTCGAGTATGTAATCATAAATACACAATTCTAAGTCTACCAAATAAGTATAACTATGGCATGCTTAGTACATACATACATAAAAAAAAAATTAATTGCATTGTTTCAGAATGAAAACTTTCGAAAAATTTTTGAATATTTTGCTAATTTAGAAAAAGTATCAATAGATGAAATTTTAATAACAAAAAGAGATAAAACTATTAAGAAAAATGATACACCAGCTTCCATAAATTTGTCTGTCATAGACATACTCGGTAAATTAATCGTTAGTATTTTGATTTCGTTTAAATAAAAATTAAAAAAGGAAAATATTTTTACAGAAGGAGGCATTATTAAGAAAGACAATATCGTACATCCAAAAAATATTGAGCAAAAAAACAATGAAGATATCTGTGTAATAAAAATACAAACAACAAATAAAAAAAGTCTAACTGTTTCTGTTAATCGAGATGAAAATTTCGAATCTCTAATAGAAAAATGTGCTCAAGAATTAAATGTTGAGAAACCGAAAATTAAATTGTACTTTGATGGAGAATTAGTTACAATAACAGATACACCCGATTCTTTAGAAATAGAGGATATAGCTTGCTTTGATCTTCGGTTATCTTCCTAAATAGTAGTGTTATTTCTATTCATAAAAATATTTTTAGTGAACTTATTTAATATATAAATAATTTAATTTATATTTCCAGTGGATTATTTACTTAATGACATGAATTATGTTATCTCAAATTAATTAATTTACCAATTTGTTTCAGATGATATATAAAGTATTAATTAATAATGAAAGTTAAATAATATACAGTGAAAAAATATACAGATTATTAGTTATTTTGTAATAAAAATGTAAGCTTGATTTTCATCAAATTTTATTAAAAAATGTTATCCATTGATTGAAATTAATTCATGTCAGAATTAATAGTGGTCCTTCAGAAGGTGGTAATTCCATAGTTTCCTGAGCTTCCACAACTCTACTTCTAATTATATTTCCTTCAGCATCAGTTTCGTCAATCGATATCAGAATATTCGATATCACGGGCATAGACTTCCCTCCGTTATTTTTTTCTCCTGACTTTTCTTTTGCTTTGGTTTCTTCATCCTCCTCCCCTTCTTCATCCAAGTCTTCAAAAATCTAATAAATTACAGAACAACTTAATATATCAATTTTTTAATAAATTATATTCCAAAGAGAAATATTACCTCAACTTGAGGCACACTGCAATTTTTATTTAATTTAATTTTAAATTTTCTATTTTGTATTTTTGTTTGGGTAATAGAAGGATTTGTTTCTTCTTCAACAGCTTCATATCTGACCATTTGTAGTCTATAGCAACCATCTTCATCATGAATATATTGGAATCTTGTATGTCCGCTAGGTAATTGTAATTGATGTGTTTCAATTAAATGCTTTGTTAATCTATAACTTTTTCTATATTTTATTGGACATTCATGACAACAATACCATCGCACCTGCATACTATGAACTCGTTCGATATGCCTTGAAGTATAATTTTTTTACCATGACAAAAATTAATTTTCATAATAAATATAAAAAAATTAATTTTTATTTATTCTTTTTATATTTAAGTTGTCAATGGGTATACAAGAATAATTTAAATACCTGTCGAGAGTATACGCGCCTTTGCATTTATACAAACATCCTTCAAAATGACACAAAAAATTAGGTCCATTTGTATGAACAGTCATGTGTGAGTCTAAATCCTGTTGAGATTTAGCAGCATGACTACAAAGTTGGCAAGGAAAACTCCTTGTAGAAACATGTCGATATCTAACATGTTTAGCTAAACTAGCTGGTGATTCACAACTCATATCACAAAGGCTGCATTTATAATTAAAAACATGCATTCGCATATGATCTCTTAAAATTCCTTCAGTAGGATAAAACTTATTGCAATGAGAACATTGGAATCCCTGAACTAATAATAATTAAACCAAGTTATTTAATATACATACACCTAATTTTTTAAAAATAGTTACAGTACTAAATATTTTTGTATATAAAAAATTTATTTATAAGTAAATAAAAATTCTTAAATTTACCATCAATTGGAATTTGCCGCTTACAATGTACATGAAATTTTGTATTAGAAGCAAAAGTAGCACCACAATCAGGACAAGCAACAATTTTTTCCTTTGTATGACGTCGTATATGATCCCTCAATTTGTATAGACTAGGATACAAGTTGCCACAACCAGTCCATTTGCATTCTAAACCTCCTTCAATTTTATTGCCTCTTGGCCCTTCCTCAATATGTGCAGCAACATGATATAAATATAATTGGTAATTCCTAAAATGTTTCAAACATTCTTCCCATCGACAAAGAAGTGGTGCTGGAAGATCAATAACATTCTTCCATTCTGAATCTCTGCGACATTTCTGAAATATAATTAACATTTAAAATTGTATAAACATTTTACAATGTAAAAATTAAATTTAAATTAAAGTTTAATGCGATATTCAATGTTCTTATAGTAAAAAATTATTTTTGTAACTTTTGTAATAAAATTAATTAATATTTATTAGAATAATAGGTGCATTTAAAAAATATTTTTATTTTAATTAATTACTTATAAAATGTAGTATAAAAATTTTGAATTTCTTACAGGTAATTTAATTCTAGTACGAATATTCGATCCAATGCATTTTAATTTTGTATGATAAGCATGATAATTGACATGTCTAGAAATTTCATCGGGATCATTACTCTCGTACAAGCAACCGCTCCATTGACATACATAAACATTGATTTCTTTCTCATTGGTCCGCGTATTTAAATCGGACACATGCGCAGCTACGTGATTTACGAATCTTTCAACATGATTTGCTTCGTATTTACAACCAGTCCATTCACAACATAGATGATAAACTTCACGTTTTAGGGGTAAACCAACTCTTCTTCTTTTTGTACCACATTCTGATACGGAATCAAACTCAGAATCAGTATTATAACTATCATCGTCATCTGTTTGTTTTCTTTTACACTGTGTTTCATCCGTATATGTAAATACTTTTTGTGACTCTACCCAATCGTCACATCGTTTTTGTACATCTTTACTAGTTATTAGATTTTTCGTAAATTCTGCCATTTTTATTAATTTATTTCACTAAACGTAAACTTGTTTTATATTATATTCAACTGTTAGTTTTGCCTTACTATACAAACTTATTGAAATCAATCAAACACATAAAAAATTCATTGATTTAAATCAAATATTTTACTTTTATTTAAAATGAAAATGTTCAAGTAATCATTAACGTCTATTTATATTCCTTTCATCATTGGTATGTTCAATACCTGCGCTTAAACACCTAACCTGATTCTAACCTAATATGAAATAAGTATAAATGTAAAGTGTGATATTATATTTATGAAGTTACTAACATTTTTGTATTAAACAGTGAAATATTACGAATATTTTTAAATAAAAACATGTGGAAGTTAACTGCTACTTCTATGAGAATGAGACAGACAACTTCTTTCTCACTGATTCTACTGCAAAGATATTTTAGTGAATGTAGATCCTCCACAATTTACGCACTTTCTTCTGGTTATTACAATTTTCTTTTTTGTTTTATTTACATTCTTTGTATTTTAATAAAATTAATACGCAATATATTATCATAATATAGAGTTAAATCGACACTGCTTCTTGCGATGAGACATTTCACATTCCGCCAATTTTAACTGCGCATGCGTGTCATAACTGCAAATTCAAATATTAAAAATATTTTATATTTAAATACAAAAAAATTATAAAGAAATTTTAGTATAAAAATTAAACCTAATGAAACGAAGTTATTGTTAGTAATTTAAAATATAACATTAATGAAAAAATATTGATTTCATTTAATTAAAAAAAAAATTGTTTTAAATATATTTTCTTATCTATTTCTAATCTATTTTATTTATTTAATAATTATACTATGTAAATTTATGATTCCATTTATTATTTTAATTTGGTCAACAAATAACAATTTTCTTTTTATATTAAAGGATATGGTAAATGTGGAGTAGCAGTAATTAGAGTATCTGGACCAAAAGCATCATTAGCTTTAAAAAATATGACAAAAATATCTGTTCTAAAACCTAGAATAGCTCTCTTAAGAAAAATTCATGATCCTGAGACTAAGGAAATTTTAGATGTAGGTTTATGTCTTTGGTTTCCAGGTAACATAATTCAAAATTACACATAAAATGAATATTGAAAATACATACATTGTACGAAAGAAGATTAATATATTTAATGAATAACAAATTTCAGAACCTAATTCATTTACTGGAGAGAATTCTGTAGAATTTCATGTTCATGGTGGTCCAGCAGTAGTGATGTCAGTTTTAAATGCATTGTCAAAACTACGTTTTCAGGTAGCATCTCCTGGAGAATTTACAAAGAGGGCACTTTTAAATGGAAAATTAGATTTGACTGAAGCTGAAGGTATAAGGGATTTAATTGAAGCAGAAACAGAAAAACAACGTAAGCAGGTAACAATGAAAGTAATGTAGTATTATCTATTCTGAAAATATAGTTTTTAATCAGATTATATTACTAAAATTGTATTATATTATGACATTATCTACTAAAACTTCAACAGGCTACTAATCAAGTAAATGGTTCTCTTCGTTGTCTTTATGATTCTTGGCGTATTACACTTTTAAATATTCTTGCTGGCTTAGAAGCCTATATTGATTTTTCTGAAGAGCACAATATAACTTCTAATGTCTTAGAAGATACTAAAAGTGGTGTAAAAAAATTATCTATAGAAATTCAACAACATCTTGCTGATGGAAGAAAGGGAGAAATTCTACGTACTGGAATACATGTAACAATTTTTGGAGAATCTAATGTAGGAAAAAGCAGTCTTCTAAATCTTCTTTCTAGAAAAGATGCAGCTATTGTAACATCTTCACCTGGGACAACAAGGGATGTTATACAGCTAACAACTAATATCTGTGGGTACCCAATGATTCTTGCAGACACTGCAGGGATTAGAAATGATCCAGAAAATGAGATAGAAATAGCAGGCATTAGAAAAGCTAAAGAACATTCACACAGAGCAGATTTTATTATATGTGTAATTAGTGCAGAAATTAATATAGCAACTCCTTTGCATGAGTTTTTACAGCAATATAAGAATTTCCTAGGAATAGATAAAAAAAGAGTTCTTACAGTATTAAATAAAGTAGATTTACTCAATAAAGAAGATAAAGAAAAATGGCGGCACGAAAATGTTGTTCTTGTATCATGTAAAACACAAGAAGGTTTAAAAGAACTTATAAATGCATTAGGACAATGTTTTGAAGAAATGTAAGTATTTCACTTATAAACTTAAAAATTTATGAATGTTAAGTATAAGACATATACAATAGAAAACTTATTATCCTCAAATAAAACATCTTTATTTTACTACATTATTTTTAATTTCAGATGTGGAGATCCATGTGAAGAAAATCCTGTAATCAGCCACGCACGATACAGAAACCATTTATTACTTGTTTCAGATTATCTTAAATTATATTTAGAGAAAATTGAAGTACCAAACTATGATATAGCTATATCATTGCAAGATATAAGAAGTGCAGTAAGAGAGCTTGGAAAAATAACTGGTTCCATTAGTAATGAAGAAATCCTTGATGTTATTTTTAAAGATTTTTGTATAGGAAAGTAAAAATCTTAAAAATTAATATTCATGTGTATATATATTCATGAAGATGGAATTATAATTGTAGATTATATTACAATAATAAAAATAATTTATCTAAATATATGTATTTGCATAACAAAAATTTTTAAAAATTTTATGTAAAATATAACTATTAATTTTCAGTTTCCTTTTTTTCTTCTGCTACCAAATGAATTATATTCACTTCATCTAGATTTATATTTTGATCCTTCATAGCTTTCTAAAACATAATTATAAAGAACAATGTACATCTTACAAATTCTAATAATTTAATCATTGTTTTACAATAAAATATGAAATTAATAAAAACTTCCAAGAAATTTATAAAAATATAAAACAATAATAGGAATAGGGAATAATTGAGGTTCATCAATTGTGAAATTTTTAAATAAATATTTAACATCTAAAAGTGTTTAACTATTATTAATTTATTTTAAAAGTTAAAGGTTTGCAAGGTTCGTGATTTTAAAATATAAGCAATATGATCCATATAGTTATTCACATTTTAAGTAAATTTTTAAAACTATTCAACTTTTTAATATTCAAAAAAATATAATATTAAATAACTAAAAAAGAAGGTTAGAAGTACACAAAAATGAAAGGTTATTTTTTGTTTGGGTTAACTTACGGATACACAGTTAGTATAAATTTTAAGTAATTGTGCGCATTCACTATCATCAAAAAACCCATGTAAAAATTTTTCAGAAAACCATTCATTAAAACAACGATCATATTTAGCTTTTAAGTCTTTACAAGCCTCCATAGCTTATTGTTACATTTATTTCAATTAAAGTAATTAAATTTTTTCTTATTTTATCATTTGCATATTAACATATTAACATTCAATATTAATTTACTACATCAGTATTACATCGTCGATTAATTGTATTGTAACAACTTCGTTTAATTACTCACGTAGAGAAAACTGGGTCATGTAATGTACATATTCCATAGATTGCAAGTGTTTTAATTTGTCAGCATGTACAACATATTTTGTATATTTTCTTAGTATTTGATTTCAAAGATTAATACATGCAAAAAATAATAAATAGTGTCGAGATGTCAAATTATTTCGAATTTCAACTTTTCGAAATATTTATAAATGCAATAAATTATATTTTTGTAAAATTACAAAATTTTGTAGGAGGAATAATTTTCAGAATATCACTTTCATATTTTGGTTCCATGATATTTTTGTTTTAATTTTAATATATTTAAATTAAATATTTAATTAATATAAAATGAATATAAGAAAATAATCAATTTAAATACCTTAAGGCACTGACTGTATAATTTGAAGTGATGTGAGCACATTGAATCGTCTAAATCTCCTTTAAGAAATTTTTCAGAAAACCAAATTTTAAAACACTCATCATATTCCTTTTTAAGATTATTACAAGCTTCTGCGATACTATCCATTTAATTTTTCTATTTATTATCAAGTCTGGAAGATAAATTCATATAAGTAATTTTTCATTTCTTAAAAAGTTAATAATGTCTATAAAAGGTATAATTTTTCAATTACTGGTTATAAATGGGATTAAAAGTCAATTAAAATTAATTTATATTAAATATTGTTAATTCAATTTCTAATTTATTATCGACTTTATAACATTTAATATCGATCAAAATCGATTAATCGAATTGTTTCACATTAGATTGAATATTATTTTATGACATTTTTTTATATAAAAAAAGTATTATTCATTATCCTAGAACGAATAGTTTTGATTAAGAAAAGTTTAACAGTAACTTACGTTAACAAATTTTTTAAGATGAAATATGATTAAGCTTCAATACTCGGAAAGCTCAAATACTTTGTGGTTAGTATCGTATATGATGTATCAGGTTAATCAGTGATTAATGGTTCTCAACTTATTTTTTCGTAAGTATTGAAAGTTCGTGGTTTTGTAGGGAATTTTGTGAATATATGAATATTTAATAGAACCTGACTCTTAATAAAATTTGATTTATTTTATTTTCGTTCACGAAAGAAAATCTTTTCCTTTTGCAATGTAATAATAGCAATTATAATTTGAAAAAATAAAAACACATGCATATTGAAATTTGAGTCTAAAAATATTAATGCTATAGAAGCTAAATAAGGTTTTATCTATTTAATATTTCATTTAAAGCTTTATTCAAATTTGGATACAGGAAATTACATTTCTATTCAATTATTTTAATAAAATTTATCAATTCTAAATACTTTCATATATATATTGTAAATATTTAGTATACAAAATTATAACAAAAATCAATTATCAATAAAATATATTTAATAGATCTTATTATGTTATCACAACTAAATCAATTAAATTAAAAGTTCGCAAAAGTAATTAAAGATCTGGATATTATCAATAAAAATTAAAAAATTCTATTTAATTATTTGTTATATGTTATAATAATCGTAATATATCAATTGGAACTTGCATCGTTTGATCATCAACCAAGACAATATCAAATTCTTCCATATATGAAAACAGACTATTTTCAACCTGTAAAAGATCAAAATCTTTATTTGTTTCATTAGATTATTTAATTTAATATAGAGTAATATAATAATAATTGAAGTCAATTTTTATTAAATTAATATATAATCAAATATTATTTCTAGTAAAGAATTATATCTATACAATGTTATATAACAAAATATTTGAATAATAATTTTATAATTATTTATGTATATAGCATTTAATTTACGTAAACCTCATATAACATAACTTACATTTTCATAAAGAAACCCAATTTTTAATACAGCACGTGTATTTTCTATTCCATCAGCCATTGATGCATCTCCTATGGTATCACCCATTAAAAGAATATTTTTTCTTCCTTCAAGAAATCTTAAATAATCTTGCTCTATTGCATGTTCGTTCTTATTGAAAACATGAATTAGTTTTTCATTTTGAAATCCTGCCAATTTTTCATCTTTATATTTGAGAAAATTTGAAATTATCTAAAAATTGAAGCCTTAATTGTTACAGATATTAATATTATTATTTCATTATCATACTATTACAAGTTTGAAAATATTTGAGTAACTAGACTTATAAAAAAGAAAGTATATTTAAAAAGTTATTACCTTTATATTATTAAATAGAACATCTCGGTCTTTTAGCATAGCTTGAACAATATCTCCTAATCCAGCACTAAAGACTAGTATTGGAATTTCAGCAAGATACAACATTTTTAAAAGGTCTTTGGTACGATCCCTCAAATCTGGTCCATAATTCTTGCATACTTCTGGAATTTCATTAGGATTAAAAGGTATTCCTTTCATTATTTCCTCAGCTGCAAGTATCCAATCTGACATTGCTTTTGATTTTATACCAATTGATAAATTAGGATCTATTTCAATTGGTCTATATTTTTTATAAAGATGATTTGATTTTTCTTTGTATGTTTCTGGAAGTTGCTTGCACCTACTAAAGATTCCTAGTTTTAAAAAATTGCAAAACAGTAAATAAGGTCATAAAACACAATTTTATTTTATTTTGTATATACACAATTAAACCTTAATATGTGAATAAAGGAGATAATGTTTACATATTTACATACCAAAACTAGTAAGAATCTTCTTTCCATTGATATGTTGCTTTGTTAAAGTTAAATCAAAATCAGTAACTACCTAAAAGTGAAAATTTTAAATTAGTTAACAATTATAAATGTGTATACACACTTAAGATACAAATTTATGTGTAAAAAATCAATATTAAAAATAAGAAATGAAATAAAAAAAGATATGAAAGAAATCTATACCTGTAAAGAATTACTTCCATCTTTCAAAATTGTGTTTATTATTTTTAATAGACTTTTTTTATCCTTAATATAAACATGGTCTAGTTTCAGTGTTGGGAACTACATTAACAGAGAAAATGTAAAGAATTATTTAAGAAAATATACAAATTTTAAATACAGCAAAATATCAATTAAAATTCTTTAACTATATATTACATTTACAACAAAATTAAGAAACTACATGTTATATGTAAGAAGTATTTAATGTAAGAAGTCTTTACATTTGTCATCTTCACTATGTAATTGTCTTAAAAGATATGGGATATGAAGGTTCAAAATGATATTTTATTCTTTCAACATTAGCACATTGTTGTTTTTCAAGTTTAAGACTATTTTTAGAAGTATATTTTTGTCATATTTTTTTATTTATTTTTTTAAAGACAAATGAGATTTTTAATAAAAAAACAATCTCTTAAAAAATAACATTAATATTATTTGTTTTATAATATTACATACATTTTGATATAATTACAAAATTGTATTATAAAAAGTTTTCAATTGTTATAGTAATTAACTAGAGTATTTGAACAAAAACTTATTTAGTATGAAAGTATAAATATATGAACATTAAAAAAACTTGAGTGATGATTCTCACTCACTGTTTGTTTTAATATCTTGAAGCTTAACTAACAAATATGAGGCGATAACTAAATTATAAGTAACTACACATGAAATATTGGAATGAAATACATTTGATTTTCTTTTTTTATTTTAGTATAAATGACATCACCAAGCTTAGAAACATTTAAGAAAAGCTTCGAATTATTATATTTTTATAGCAAAAAATCTTTGAATGCAAAGGGTTAATTTGTTAAATTAATATTTTTAGTTCATTATGTTTTTTATTTGATTATTATTTAACAATCTATTAGATTTATTACTTCAATTTGTAAATGAATTAACTTTTGAAAAATGTACAAATGAAAATTATAAAAATACAAATTTTATTATATAACAGATTAATTTTAAATATTGTGTCACAGACTTTTTAGTTTTGTCTTCCAATTTATTACTCATTATATGTAATAACATAATACTTATAAGCTCAAATTTATGATATAACCATTCTTTTATTATTTTTTTTATTGTTTTCTATTATTCTTTTTTACTCTAGTTATTAGTTTTATAATCATACTAATAAAAAGTAGTATGTGTAATGGTTATTATTATTAATGTTATAGTCTAATATAATAGTATAACATAATATTAGCTAGTAACTGATAATGATTAACACCGTGAAAAAAATAGTAGACAAGTACTTACTTTACCATTTTAATTTATGTACAGATTAATATTTTCATTGACTTTGTATTGTTTTTATAGAAACGATTTAAAATTTAATATTGTTAAATATGAATAAAAATTATTATACATTCTTTCCTATATTAACTACTATTACACTTTTCTCACATAGTTTTATAACAGCATTATATTATATCTTGTTTCTTATTTTTTATTATTTAGATGAGTTATAATGTTTTAAGAGCGTTAGATAACTGACAGGACAAAACAGGTAAGTATAAAGATGAAGCAGTACTTATTTAGTTACCTTTTTTTATTCTATAACCATAAATTGTTTCTTTATTAAATATTAATTATTAATCTCTTAATCTCTTGACTCTTAATTTACAACTAAAATAGATTAAGAAATAAATAATAGAAAAAAATGAATAAAGTAAAGGTTAAGTTTTAACATAATGACTGATTAAATTTCGAAGTAGCTCAAGATCAAATGCTATTGGTTAAGAGCAAAAACCGCGAAAAATTTAAATTACTTACATTATCCAGAGTTACTTCGGCAGTCATGTTTTTCTTTTGCACAATGAGCGCGGAGTCTATGTATTCAAGAACTTAACTGTTTTTTAAGTGCCATCACAGTAAAGCCATCACAGATCCAATTAACCAATCAGCTACAGTACGTAAAGTCTCTATCTGTCACGTGACTTCCCCTTTCTTTAGTGAGTTTGAGCAACGTGAAAATTTTGATCTTTGAATTGATGCAAATTCGAATAACTTTTTAAATAATCCTTATTAATTTCACCCTAGTAGTTCCACTCAAGTAGTGCTTATTAAAACATAAATAGGAATATGAAAATGTATGTATGTACATACATCTTCTATGAGGAAGAATATTTAATAGTGCCTACAAATAATAACATAATCGTTTATATATTTGAATTTTAGATTAAATACATCATACTTTGCAACTGGTTTTAAGATTCTTAAAAATCTTAACATTATACGAACGAAATCAGTACGTATATATTTTGTTACATTAAAAAAGTATTTATTCAATATAGTCGTTAATATTATTCTTCTAACAATTATTATTCATATAAAATTTTATTAAGTGCCATCAAAGATACAGAAATTTGTTCCAGTATGGAAAATATTGCTACCACTGTAAAGATTTGATAGCGGAATGATAACTTGGACTATGCTGTGAATAAAATTGGGAATACCACCTGCGGTAAGCAAGTATGCTTTTATCTTCTTTGACGAGAAGAGGTTGCTTCTCGAACTTCTTTCGATTCCAGATAGCTACATCTCTTTCGAACATTAAACACTCTCCTAAGAATAACATGCTAGCGTATGGACCAAGCAGCGGAGGAGAGTATATTAAATGGGTCACCTGGTAATACAAATGATAGTAATAATAATTAGAAAAAAAATAATTTGTTTTATATGTAATACAAAAAATAATGCAAAATAACAAATTTTTTTAATGAAAATTCAAGGTAAAAGTTTATTTTAGTGACTATGCCCTAAATCTATTTATTTTTTTCTGTTTCCTTTTTTTCAAGGAAAGCTGTATTATCTCAATATTAAAAAAAGAAATACGATCTCGATGACTTTGAAGAATGTATGTTGTATAATCTTCTTTGCGGCCTCTTTTTCCAAGATATTTGCAAAAATTGTTGGTACTCCTGCATTGAGTTCTGCCTTTATGTGTCATGGACGCGTAGCGTTTTCAAGGGGTCGCTTCTTGCCTAGTGTATCGTTACTCGTCTAGTTTATGTAACGGGTGGATAGAAAGATTAAGTTTAATCGATTTCAATGATTCAGCTGACTGAATGTCAACTTGCGTAGCTTGATGGCGCGGCTGTGCCTAGAATAATAATTTATTCCAACCTAACCTAAAGTAATATCATCTTTAATTAGGTTAGGCTGGTTTGAAGTAGCTACACTATGATTTTTTTTTTTCAGTTGTCCGTTGTGTTAAACTCGCCTGTGGCCGCGAAGTGTTTATATAACATTAGACGAGCAACGATTCCTTGCAGATGCAACGCATATATGACACACGTAAAGAAATGATTTAATCTAATAGTATAAGTAATTTTTGAAAATATATCAAAAACTAAAACCGGGGAGCAATTATGTAATTAAAAGTTATTCAATGTCTCGTCTTCCATAATATACTTAAAAATCATCGAGTCAGTTAACGCATTCAGCAGTTTTTAAAGATTTTATGTTTTTTTATAAAAAATTCAGCAAAAGTACATTACTTTTTTAAGCTCTCTATTCTATACTCTGTTTTAATATTAAAATACAGCCCTTTTTGAAAAAACCTGGAGAAATAGGTTAATTTAAAGCAAAATCATTAAAGTAAACTTTCATCAAATTCAAACCTTTTTTACTAAATACGTTCATTATTAGATTCTCATAAGAAATCTTATTTTTTCAAAGAATTTTATGTTATAAAAATTAAAATTTTATCACTTTTAAATATATACTTGAAACTTTACGTCAATTTAGAACCTTTTGTAAAAGCGGTTCCATTGGTGTGACTGTCTGAAAAATACACATAGATCCCAAAGATGAGTGCATCATTAATTCAACATAACCGGGGCCGATTTGTTGAACGTTTACATCCAATTGTAAAAGTTCGAATTTCTCGAACAAAATCAGGCTGTGTCTTAAAGTCATGTATGCTCTATGTCTTAAATTTTCACCATCTTTTTTTTCCGTTTCAGTTTTCTCGGAAGTTTGGGACTCTAGGAAAGAGTTATGCGGCGCCCAATTAACGTTTGTCCATGAATGACGAGCAAAAGAAGAGAAAAAATTTGTAATTTTCGTAAATATTGCTGGTCCATGCACTGCGCTAAGATGTGCTGAATCAGCACCATTTTCTGCAACTTCCTGAAAAATGTAATAATACTTATATATGTTTCATACTTGTATAATGTTTCGCAATTGTATCATTTTATGAATATTTTGTTACATTAAATTCTAACGTGACATTGTATAAAATAGAAGTCGAAGTACATTTTATGCATAGGCAATTGTTTTCGTAATTTTCGATTATTTATAGGTAGTTCTTAAATTATCGTATTAATCATAAAATTCTCCTTGTTTTATTGTTTATTTTAATTATTCCTTAATTTGGGGATGATAGTTGCTATTTCCTTACCTGTTCAAACCCAAAACAACGACCATCGTTCTTAGGGTTCATCATGGAGGCTGCAATCAAGGAGTCCAAAATCCATTTCTTATTTCAAATATCCACCAGCTTTACTTAACACATATCTAAAAAAGGAAAAAGAAAAAGGAGAATACTAAAAGATCGCTATCGATCTAAACATTAATGGCAACTTGGTTTCCTTGATTTTAGTTTCCATGATCAATCTAAGTAATTTGTACCTCAATTATCCTTAATCTTTACATGTTATACGAATACAACTTTATGATATTTTGTTTATAGAAACTTATACACGCCACTCAAAGATTAAAATCTAAATTTCTTGGAAGCAAAAGTACAATTTAAATTTTCACATTCATCCGTTCATTATTGTTATGTCACAAAATAAGCAAGTAGTTTACATAAAAAACTGTATCTAAGTCGATTAAACTGACCTGTATATGGCAGTTGATAAGAAATTCATTTCGACCTTGATAGCGCCACGTTCGGTTTAAAACGTTACTAATTGTTTGCGGTTGCCAATTTGGTTCTAATCCCTCTGCATGGTGCCAAACGAAGATAATTTCGTTAGCTTCGCAACTTTTCCACGTTTTTGTTCTTGCTATATGTGGCACTAAAATTAAGTATGCAATATTAAAATTTTATAATACAATTTATTATAAAAAAATAGCTTTATGTAACTAACATTAATTAATATTCATTACAGCATCTATCCTGCTTAAAAACAACAAATAATCGAATGAAGTTATAAATTCGATTACCTTTGTCGGCGTATGGGATATGATTGCACTGTCCATCAGAACCACGAAATTGCCAACCATGAAAAGGGCATTCTAAGCAATCGCCTTTTACACGACCACCTTCTGCCATATTTGCACCCAAATGTGGACAATAAGCGTCTAAAATCCTTATCGTCCCGTTATCTGTTCTTTAAATGAATTACTAAATATTATTATTAAATATGCATAAATATCGACAAATTATATTTCTAAGAATTTTTAAAGTTTATCGTCATATGTAAAGGAATCTTGGATCTCAGATGTAAGTATTAAAATACCTGAAAACAGCAAAATTTTGTCCAAGTGCAGCTACATGTTTAACTTGACCCTTTTCTAGTTGTGAACTTTCTAATAAAGCAAACCATCCATTTGGATAAACCGGTGGAAGTTTACCCAATTTGCGTTTTTTCGACTCCAAGTGATTTGCTAAAACTGTTTTGTTATCACCTTCTAATCTTAGATCCTAAAAGAAGAATCCGTTTTTACTTTTGAAGTTTTTCGTTATTAAAAAGACAATATATGAAGTTGATTGACATAATAATAAAATATATAAATTTAATTATGATAAGTTTTCGCGATAATTTAACATAAAATTCAAATATGTTTTTCAAAAAAGTAGAATTACAAATTTAAAAATAGGATAATAATTACAATAATTATTAATCTTAAGAAATATATTTTTTGCTTTGAAATATTTAATATAACATTGAAGTATATCATGGTTTCCTTTTAAGGATAGGAAGAATCGCTGATACGAAGAAAAAAGATTCTTCTAGTTTTACGGTGTCACGCGCAAAAAGAAATCTGCTTCCTCATTTGTAAACATAATGTCATCGTGATGGCTTGTGCTCGCACCCGTGCGTGTCGTTTGCGTTAAAACTTTATGGACTTGACCGATAAAAATAGAGAAATAGTGCAAACGTCAACGAATTTGTAAGTTTTTTCCTTTACTTTTACATTTTCGAGAAATTAATACGAATATTTTACTAAAAATAATCGTATTTCTATTTCACGTTAGTTCAGTTTAATTTGATTTTTACTTTATTTTATCTAACTTAATGTCAATACACTATTTATAATTCTTTCTCTTCGATAAGGAGTAGTATTTAATAAAGTTTATATTCCATTTTCTTTTAAAATTGAAGGAAAAAATAAATCAGATTTAGTAACAGTTGAAATATCGGAGTATTTTGAAGCAATGTTGATCCCTTTTCGATTGAAATTTAATGGTAATTTCATGGAAACCCAATGCAGTTCTAAAGTTACATCGGACTTTTTAAATCTTTACTTTTACCAGCGTAATCTAACAAATTTTATTATTTGTTTTACGTACATTATTAAAAATGTGTAAAATATAATTTCGAAGAGCAGTTTATCAGCATTTCCTGCCATTTTAATATTAATTGACTAATAATATTTGTTTTGATAGTTCAATATATCGATGTGATATTATTTACTCTCATATTTCTTCTAAAAACAAAAAAATATCGATCATTTTGAATTTTAAGAGCCACGAAGAGGAAAGTAAAAGATGCGATATAAGTAGGTAAACCGGGCAATGGTATCGAAGAAGACTCACCTTGATCCAGTTGATCTTGTACAAATAGGGAGCAAGGAGAATACCAAAAAGCAGAAGAAAAGCACCACCGAGGCTCCACCATCCGGCCATCGTTGTCTTCTTCACCCTCTGCCCCCGAACGAAGAAAAGCAAGTGCACTCTAAAAACTTGTCCCTCCGGAACACCTTCGGAACCACCTCTCTTATTCTCCTTGCTCTCACTCCCCCTCTTTCTCTCTTTCTTTTCTCCTTTCCTTTTCCTTCTACTCGGCTTCTTCTCTTTTTCCTTCCTTCCTTCTTCTTCTCCTTCTCTTGTCCTCTTTCTCACCTCTACTTTTCCTTCTTTCTTTCCTCTTTACTCCCTTCCTTCTTTTATCATTCTCCCTTTACCTATCTTCTTCGTTCTTTACTTTCTACCTCTTGCTCTATCTTCTCTTCCTTCTTTCTTTTCTTCCCCTTCCACTGTTCCTGCTCTTCTTCACGTTGCTCTTGTTTGCCCCCCTCTTTTAATATTTTTCTACACCTGTTCCGTACACTTGTCTTTCAAACTTTGTTATGTTTAATTCTTCGCTTCTGCATTCGTAATTTTTGCTCGGTTATTTTGGAGATACGAATTTTTCATGAAACAAAGATCGGTTGTCAGTTCTAGTCCAGCCGAATTTTCCTTTCTTTTAGTTATACCTTTTTTCTTTATTTTTTCTTTTTTCTAGTTCTTTTCACATTCACGCGAACTTTAGTATGTTATCTCGTACAGTATGCTTTTTTGTGTTTCTTTAATTTAGAAGGTATCGAATTTCTGACAGTAAGTACAAAAAGTTGGACTGGAAAACTTCTTATACTTTGATTTTTAATTACGTCACATCTGATACGCTATTTTGTTTATATACGATGTTAGTAATGATCTTAGAAGATATACCCAAGAGATCGATCGAGGTGGAAAAAGTGAAGATGAAACGCACAGAAGGACATACCAGACGGATTCCGAACCCTCGATCGTTTTTCGAACGACTGAGCCACTTCATCCTTAGACAGAGCCTTTTATACCTTTCCAAGGTGTACTAAGATCCTCAACAGCATCTATTATGGAAGATTCATCGTCTTTTAATCGATCTCATCTGTAATTTGTACTTGAGCGCAATTTTCTTCCGCCAGAAATAATTGTTTAACCATTAATAATTAACGTTATGAAAAAATCGTGGAACTAATTCTTCTTGCTATTTACTTGAAAAAGTATCGAATCTGTATTTCAAAATACTTTATTTGGATTATTTGCAAAATTTCACTTATTTGTTATATCACCCTCCTTTGATTTTATTTTTATACTTATATTTTTAGTATAACTTTCCTTTGATAATAAGTTATACATATATCGTAACTGAAAAACGTAACATTTGCAATCAGAGCCTTGTAAATTATAACGATTAATTGTTTACGAAAGCCACATTACGAGTTGCTTATGAAATGTAATACATAACGCATCGTGGCTATTCAAATGTTCAGGAATACTTGTCATTTACAAATCGTATATCTGGCCTTTTCAGCAAATGTCGATCGAACGATCACATCGATTACCACATTTTTCCGCTTAGAATTATGTACAGCCACGACCGATTTCCAAGTCCTTGTTGCATATCTTTTCTTTTATCGCGAGTCGTTCTGCTTCTATTTACCCTCCATGTCTTTTCTTTTCCAGGTTTTATCGATGCTACCAATCGATTTCCGATTGTTTCTATCTTTAGTCCTACGCTTTTCCGCATTTATTTTCTTCCTGTTTTGTTTTTCGTTTTTTCAATTCTTTCACTTTGTCTTCCCTTCATTCCTCTCTTCTTCCAGACTTTTACGATCGTACATCAATTTACATCATTAGTCTACGATGTTTTTCGGTAAATCTCAGACGAAATCGGCTAGTCTATAAATTTTGTACGTTTAATGTGAAGAATATGTTTAGAAACGTCATTTGAATTTCAAGCCCGGGAATGAAAGATCTAGGTAAATATAAAATTTGAAATCTTAGAGAGTTCAAGGTCGACAGGAATTTATAAGTAACGCAACCAAGTTCCGATTTAAACAGTTGTTTCTAGCGGAAGAAGCAAGTATCGACTCTAGAAATACTTAATAAATTACGATTTACAAAGGATGATGGGAAAAAGGAGAAAAATATATCATGAAAGGAAATTTGGAGATTCGATATAATAATTAATTAAATAATTTTGTAAATATATATTTATTTATATAATTCATACATTAAATTACGATACGTTGTAGCTATTTAATTACATTATTCATATACATTTAATAGTCAGTTCTTCTCTCGTTGTTCATTAATGTTTACAAGTGTTTACATTAAGATCGAAAAATCGTACGTTTAATAGTAGTGGCAAAAATTCACTTGTACACACGCGCTATTTAAGAGTAGATACAAATTATATTAATTAACAAGCACACGAATCTGCGGTTACTTCACTGGATATATTTTTCCATTAATATTTTATTGAATACACACTGTTACAATTTAAGAATATAATTGTTCGATGAACCGACACACACAAACGTCAGATAATCAATAATCGAACAAATGAATCAATTAATTTTATCATTCACTCATTCGGTAATTGAGTAGCACAGTAAATAATCAATGATAAAAAATTCTTAATCTTAAAATTCATTCGACAATTTCTGAACAAATAAATAAATGAATTAAATCGACAATTAATTCATTTATGTATTTTATCGTATAATATAACATCAGTATTCTAACTGTAAGTCATTCATTCACAGTTTACGATATCATTAACGCTCAATTAACGTGATCGATTAAGTAATTGGAGGCACTGTGGTGAAAACCAAAAAAAGAGAATTAAAGACAAACAAGAAAATAATGTTAACATTTTTTTTATGGATTCTGTTTTTTTCTTTTCTTCGTTAAATTTGAAACAATTTCTTTTTTTCTTTTTTTACCAATTTTTAACTAATTTTTAAATCTAATTTTAATATCATTTTTAATAAAACGCAACAGCAAAAAAATTTGTTTTCTACAAAACAATGAACAATGGAAAACAGATTTTTTTAATCAACAATAAAAACAAACAATGTCCGCGTGGAATTTCGTTTAAATGCACATATTTTACGCTAAAAGTATATTGATTATTTTTGCGCATAATTTATCCTTCAATATCTTATGCGTAAACATCGTGTACCTTCAACATAAATTATGTATTTTTTCAACTTTTCAAACGTAAAACAAAAACATAACTCGGATCAACGTTAACTTCAATTTTCGGAGTTTGGGAGATTAGCATTAACTTAACATCGAGCATGTTAACATTAACGAAAACAAGAGAGAATGATAAACTTAACAATAATAATAATAAAAAAAAACACGAATAAATTTTTAACAAACAACTGGAAATTCTCATAACGTCTGGAAATTAACAACTGACCAACAAACTAGAAGCAAACTTAACGACCTAATTATTTAACGAATAAGGAAACATGAACAATAAATTAGAAGGTGATCAATATTTCATTAATAATGTTACTTACATAAAAATACATTGATAACAAAACATTGATCAAAACAATTTGCAACATTTTACTCCACTCATCTCTTAAATTATTTACATTTATTGTTATCATTTAAATTAAGAACTTTTATCTTCTCCGAAAAATCAATTTTTAGAGTAATCACTTTTGAAAGTCAATAATAATTTTAACATTTCTTATTGAATTTTTTCTATGCTGTGTATGGCATAACATGTAACACAAATATCGGAATAAAAAATTTTGATCTAAATGATAGATTTTTGAATTTTTTCTTTTAATTAATTTAGATATGTAAGTATGTAAATGATAACAAATTAGTTATTTTTATTTCCCCCTTCTCTCTTTTTTGGCAGTTTCAGCTGATAACTTTAAACAATTTTTTAATTTTACTTATTGAGGTATCTGGAAGTTGTAATTTAAATGTACCTTACTTATATATCATACATCGTTGCCACTTTTGGATTATGCATTAAATTTAACACTACTTACATTTCACTTTTATTAATTTAGTATGTCAATTTTCATTTCTCATAGTCTGTAAAAATTTGATTTTCACAATTTTTATAATTTTGACGTAACTTTTATATGGAACTACAATTACTTTACTATATTGTGTTTTGAATATGTTTTGAATACTTTTATTTTCAGAGTTTGTTTTTTCCAAAAACTTCTTTTTATCATGACATTTTCTTCATTTTAATTTGTAATTTTGTTAAATTTGTAAGCTTGAAAATGTATCTCAGAAAAATTTAACAATTTCACTTTTCCTTTTAATTTGTTGAATATAATTCCATTTAAAAATTTATATTCGAATTAGATATCACCAATCTTTTCTTTATCTTTTTTCATTTTTCTCATTTTTTTCTTTTAACGTAATGTCTTCTACTGTTGTCTTCCTACATGTTACGTAATTTCTTCTTACGTCTGTCTTGTACTTTTCCAAATCTTCCAAATTTCAGGTATTTTGTGTTCGAATTCTTGAACTTTTTACGTTTCTTTTGGCGAACCCATTTGTCAGCCATAGCAGCCGTCATTCTTCTTATTTAACATTAAGTTTTCATGCACATTTTACTGCATTATACTGACATGTTTAATTTTCTAAATGATTTTTCTCCTATTTAAAAAATTGTTGGCTGCAATATTGTTTCGAAGTATGTGCTTCGATGACTTCTGATGACTTCATCTTCAACTGGTCCATGAAACCTGGAAGGGTGTGAGTGTTAGCAAAAACGGAAAGCCAAATCAAACATAAAGAAAATAAATTTTGAAGAATTTATAATTCAGAATTTGGTAAGAAAAATATTAAGAAACATGAAAAGTAAAAAATAATGATCAGAGCAGAAGGAAACTACAATATAATAATTTCGAAAATAATAAAGTAAATTATCGATGGTAATTAAACACATATGTCGATCTTAAATTATTTTGGTCCAGTTCCGACTTTTTTTTTAACAGGTTTAGTCTTGTGGTTTCTTGTGACTAGAAATTTTTAGGGAATAAAATGGAATTCAATTTACATCAATTGTGCAATAAATTCGGAAGAATATACATATTTTAATCATTTTTGTT